GGAGTAAGATTAAAGTATTTTATAGAAATGATGATATATTGATAAAAATTTATTATGCTCATAAATAAGATATTGAAATAGTATGTTGCATATTGTATAATTCATTGTTTAAAAAATCGCTTCACAATCGCACACATATTTAGGTTACGGGGTTTTCTTTGGATAAAAATGATTTGCAAATAGCATCCTCATGTTTCGACGCATTCTGAAATGTTCGTTCGCAAATTCACCATAAAGTCTTGCACAGCATGTTCTTCAATTACGATAAACTACAGTTACCAGCAAACACTGCTAGTGTCAACAGTGACCTTCCTCGTATTTCAAACTATTTGCATGCCAAATTTCATTGCTTTCGGACGGATGGTTAAAACAATTTCTTCTTTATAATTACCGATAACGGCGATATATAGATAATTCCTCACGACTATAACGGAAAATGGAGAATTTCTCACGACTATACCACGTAAGAAGCAAAGCAGACAAGGACGCCGGCAGGGGGGAGCCCTTGCACCCCCCTGGCTTTTTTTTCTAACAAATAAAGAGATACAGAAAAACAATTTTGCTATAAAAAAATTTTATAAAAAATATTTTTATTCAAAAACAAATAATGAAGTAATTATTGACACATAGCAATTAAAAAATTGTTTAACAAACAAGAATTGTAATCGTCTTGTTTGCTGTCCAAATCTGTTTATAACTATTTCAATGAATTCTGTGTCATTTTTTATTCTTTTCTTATGCACACTGAGCATGCACAAACTACTTAATCTCTCGTGAGACATTGTAGACCGATTCCATGTTCTGATGCGTCGCATTGTACTAAAAGTGCGTCGTTCAATAGGGCACGTAGTAGCTGGAAGAGTTAGGCCAATTTTGATTGCCTCTGCTACAGTTGGATAAAACGGTATGGCCTCAATAACTAAATCGATGTATTCGAGGGATTCATAAGAATTTTCTCTATTCCTTCACATTTCGTACCACGTTGTAGCTTCAGTGATGAAATTCAGTGAGAGCATACATAGTATATATATCAACACAATGAATATCAAAGTTAAGCGTGCACAAACGCGTCTATGCAAGCGCCATCGACACAGTTTCTCGTTGCAAAATTTGCAAGTACAAGAATTTCGTACTTTTTTTTTAAATATCTTGTTAACAATGAAGAAATGTATTTTGAAAAAAATTAACAGATGAAAGTATATGTATTGATGCATATGTAAAAAATTAACAGATGAAAGTATATGTATTGATGTATATGTAAAAAATTAGCAGATGAAAGTATATGTATTGATGTATACGTAAAAAATTAACAGATGAAAGTATATGTATTTGATCTATATGTAAGAAATTAACAGATGAAAGTATATGTATTGATGTATATTGAATTTGGCATCATTGCCAAAACTATGCCAGGGCCATCAGTACAGTTTCTCGTGGCAAAATGTGCAAGTACAAGAAATTCGTACTTTTTTTTAAATATCTTGTTAACAATGAAGAAATGTATTTTGAAAAAAATTAACAGATGAAAGTATATGTATTGATGGAGATGTAAAAAATTAACAGATGAAAGTATATTTATTGATGTATATGTAAAAGATTAACAGACGTAAATATATGTAAAAAATTAACAGATGAAAGTGTATGTAAACTGTATTGATGGCGCTGGCATAGTTTGGCATCATTGCCAAAACTATGCCAGGGCCATCAGTACAGTTTCTCGTGGCAAAATGTGCAAGTACAAGAAATTTGTACTTTTTTTAAATATCTTGTTAACTATGAAGAAATGTATCTTGAAAAAAATTAACAGATGAAAGTATATGTAATAACAAAACGAAATGTAATAACAGAATATTATTTTTTGTTATTTTTTTTTGTTAGAGGGTTGCACCTCCTTTTATATTATTCTGCCGGCTCCCTTGAAACCAGATAGTAAAAACAATTTCCATATTCCTAATTGAGTACTTGCACTTCAATAAGAAAATCAGGGATACCCACTCTTATGACCTTTGCTGTAAGCTCCAGCTGATCGTTTATAAGCAAAATGGCGAGTTAAAAATGAGCTAAGTTTCTCCAAATAAGTTAGAATGTTGGTTAACGCGAAATTAATTAAATACAGTTCCGTAGCGCACATAGAATTTTTTGAAGTACAATTCTTTCTCGTCACATCTTTTACTTAACTTAGATTTATTATTTGTTTATGTACTTAATTGTAACCGTGATCTATTTTACTTTTGTGTTCCTGGCACCTTCGATGCATAATTAGTTTGTTTATGCTCAACATGGCTTCGTGCTTGTCTTTGTTTAAAATAAGAAAGATGTAGGGACAGACTTGAAATCTGTATGAAAGAACATAGAATGTGTCACTTAAGGGAAATGATACTTGGCGGGTTTGGCTTACTCGAAATAGAATGGAAAGAACAGTTGATAACGTAAACAAATGCCACGTTTCAGCAATCAATCGGGATCGAGATAGCCACATTACGTCACTTGCTGGTATCCCATTGTCAATAACGGCCATAAATTAAGATATAAAGAAGATATTTAATTGTAATTCTTGGGTAAAAATTTTTCTTTAATATTTCAGGGGAAAATAGAACAGAAATCGTTTTTTGACATCTTTTTAAAAGCTGATACGTTTTAGAAACCTTTAAAATATTCTTTGTTAACAGAATAGACATTTCAAGATTACGCGATTTCACCTCTCCATTGCCGTTATTTTTTTCCACACATCAGTACGCTATTATTATAATATCTATATTATAACAATATACAGTTACGAGTTATAGATACTCCTTAAGAGCCGTGTTAATAAAAAGAGTGCCATTGGTGCCTGACACTTGGTTGCCTAGGCGACGAAGGTAGAAAGTATGAACTTGAGATGACACTGGGATACCTACAAGTGATGTAGTGTCGGTAAGTCGATCCTGATTGTTCATTAAAACGTGGCTTTTGTTTACGTTAACAACTATTCTTTCCATTCTTCTTCGAGCAAGCCAAGCGCGTCAAGTATCAAATTTTTTTAAGTGCCCCCATTCTACATACTTTCACAAACATTTCATTTCTATCACTATATATTTCTTAATTAATTTAAGGGCAGGTACGGAGCTATGTAGAGCATAAACTATGTAGAGATATGCATCGATGTTGCCAAGTGCACAAAACAAAAATATATCACCGTTACAATAAAATGCATAAAAAATTATAAATCGTGGTTAAATAAAAGACGTAGACAAGAAAAAATTTTATTTTAACAAATTCATACGGCGTTGCATTTAATTAACTTCTCATTAATTAACATTCTAACTTGTGTGAAGAAACATTGCTCGACTTTAGCATGACATCTTGTTTATAACTGATCAACTGTCGCTGAGGTCATAAGTCACGTGTCTGTGTATCAGTGATCGTCTTCTTCTAGGGTTGCAAGTACCATATTGTTTGTTTTTCCCGTATGTCTCACACGTGACGAATTTACAAAATTATTTTGATATTACAACGAATTATAACATTATTAAAACTACTGCAAAAACCTTTCAAAAAGTTAAATTTTCTGAAAATAGAAACAGGAATTTTTCTTTTTTTCGTTCAATAAGCAGAATTTCTCCATTTATTTTTAAAAATTACTTCTATGCACTTTCAGCTCCGTTTCGCAAGTGACGCATGTTTTAATTTTTATAACTAACTTAGTATCAGACATTCGAAAAGACATGAGTTTTAATAATCAATGAATCAATGCGCACTTAATAAATATCAATTAGAATTTCTAGTTTTTAAAAGTTAAAAAAAAAGAAGACAAAGAAGGGAAAAAAAACTACATTAGAACACATTTAATTAAGAAGATGCACAAATAAAAGTCGCGCACGTGTTCATGGAACAACCAAAATATGGTTAATATAATAATCAAACACTCAATGACGTTATTAGTGGAGAAGGTCCGCCCTCCCTCTTTTTTTGTCACCATTTCATGACTTTGCAATCGTCAATGGTGGTTCATGAAAAATAAGTATAGTAGTCAAAATTATCTATTAATTTTAAAAATTTCTAAAAAAACATTTTTTTTTCAAATAAATCTTTTGAACAATTCCAGAAAAAGCAACGATTTTTTTTAGATATTTTCGTTACAAATACTTGAACTTTTTATTTAAAAAAAAAACTACAAAAATTCAAAATTTTAAATCTAACAAAGTAGGAGTAAAAGTACAAACTTCTTACTTTTGTTACTTGAAAGGAAAGTAAAAGTATTGCCATGCATAGATTTAGCTTTAAAGTGTGTTCTTACGGCAGATGGATTACAAATGTTATCGATTTTGTCCCCAGCGTGGAATTAATATGAAACGGATTTTTAAAAAAAAATAGCGCGGAAGAAGTTAAACTTCGCAACCTGCGACGTTAATTGTAGAAGAATCAGCAGTCGTAGAAGAATCACTAGTTCTATTCAACGACTCTTTTTCCTGCTCCGCTCGCTTTCGTGCTCTGTAATCACGGTAATATTGTGCATTTTTCCCTCGTGGACCTCTTGAATCAGTGGAAGTGCTTGTGATTACCTCATCGTCTCTCCCTGGAAAATGCATTTGTATTAATAATGTATGTGAATGCGTCATAATGTAATTTCAGAAGAGAAAACCTAACAATCAATTGATATCCACACGAGACGTACCTTGACTTAACCTTATAAATCCATCGCATTGTCCGTGGGATTATTTTCACTCATTTTTTACAATTGTTATCCACTAAGTTTGAAAATAAAAAATACTACCATATTAAATTATATGTGTATCAAAATAAAATAAAAAAACATAAAAGAAAAACAATACTTTTATGACTTTTATGCTAGTGAGAACCAAAACAATATGGAAATGAATGAGGGAAAACTGGATCCTACCACGTGATTTCCCGGCCAATAAAAATGTAGCGTTAAACGTTTAACGCAACCTTGTTGGAAGTCGCATAAGAAGTATAACTTCAAAAGGCATTTGGTACAATAGCGAAATAAATTAAATCAATTATAGATTTTTATTTATTAGAATCGAAAAAGTACAAAATATTGTACAAACGCTAGTTCACAGAGAATTATTATAAACGCTAGAGGATTTTATCAAATAAGAAGTTGTGTCTCCAATATTTATGTATATTCGACGAGTGCACAGGCTTTTTGAGTGCGAGTTTCATATTCATGGACAAGCGCAACCAACGCATCCAGTTGAAGTTTCTAGTAGAAAGCAGGGATCTTCACATGGTCCCGTGAATGGGTAACACCCATTAGCATCTTGACCATCTGGAAAGCAAATAATGACAAATGAATGTAGTGCGAGTTCTAAGTTAGACAGTTTTATAAAATTTACAAGAGGAAAACTGTGAAAAGATTTAAAACAATTCTTGCAGCAAACTTACAAGACAAGACATACAGTTTTAAATCCTTGAGTTTCTGGTTTTAGTTCAAAAAATTTTCGACAGATGCCGTTGAAAGTTCTATCTAGATTTTTATTTTAAAAAGTTTATTATTTAGTGCACTTTCTGATGAAAATTGTTTGAAATATAAACAGAAAGTTTGAGAGGAAAAATTTTATCCCTTGTTTCATAAATGCGCATCAAGAACTCAAGAACTTTTATGTTTCATAATATATATATATATANTATATATATATATATATGTAACTCATATCAATTCCGTTGATTATCAATATTATGAAATAACTAGGCAAAATTTCGTTAGTCTAATTTATTCGTGGATATATGGATATTTTTATAAAAGACTAATCTTTACGTTTTTTTACTATAACTGCAGAAATAATGAACAAAATTAAACAGACTTCTTAGGGTAATTTTTAATTAATAATAAAAGTATCATTTTAAAATTTGAAAAAAAAAAATGCACTAGATATGAGCATTTAAAATATTCATATTATGCTGCGCATGCGAGGAGAACTTTTAGAAATTTTCTCATTACTTTGTTTTGAATCGCATTTAATGACTTACGAAAAAAATTAAGTTTAAATATGTTGAAAATTTGGAAGGTTTTTAGTAATTTATAAGTAGTTTTTGTTGATTTGGAAAGAGAGCTTTGAGTGCTAAGGGGCCTTCCACAAATTTAATTTAGTACAATTAAACAAGATTTATTAGAAATGATGTCAGCTTTATATAGGACCATACTTTATTAAATTATGTTTTACTTCACGTTTATTAAATTATGTTATGTTTTGCTCACTTTTCTCAATACCAGTTTTTCAATGAAAGGGGTTTTGTCAATTTAGAGCTTTCATTTTTAAAAAAAAAGTGCAAAACTACATAGAAATTTGCTAGAAACTTTCAAATTTTCAAGATATTCAAATCGGCCTTTTTTTTATAAATGACCAAATACAATTTCAAACAAAATTATTCAGAAAAAAAAGTTTTTTTAGTTGTTTTTCGCACATGCTCTGTATGAAAATATCATTCGTCATTTGTTACCGGTCCCTCAAACTTCTAAGTGCTTTAAATTTTATTGATATGAATGAGAAATCGTATTACTTAAACAGTTCTAAAGTTTTAAAATAATTCTCTAAGTTTTTCTTGAGAAATATGAAAAAATGAGTTAATATAGAAGTGTTTCCATTATTTTGTTCAACCCCTGTATATACCCTATCCTACAATAATGGAAAAGTTTTCAGCGGTTTGAGGGACCGACAATAAATTACGAAAAAAAAACAAGTACTTTTTTAACATTCTATGCTAGAAAATCAAGCAGTAATCAAGTAACTTGTATCGATTACTTTAAGTTGTTATTTTTAATAACTGCATAAAATTTTGCAAACCTAGCAAAACTTTTTATGGGGTTTTGGACATACGAAAGAAAGACCAAAAAAACAAAATTTCTTGTTACAAATGCCACTGCTTAGAAAAAAATTAGTGAAATTCTGAAATCACAGAAGTTAAGGAGAAATGTTCTTTCATATAAGAAACATATGTTTTCTTATATGAAAACATATGTCTTATATTTCATATGTTTTTTATAAGAAACTATTTTTTTTTTTGTCTTAAGAAGAAGAAAAATAAAATATTTTTGGAAAATATTTAAAGAATTTATTAAAAAAAATTATTAATAGCAAAATATAGAAAAAATACCTCGTCATCAGCTCACACGAATATATCCGCAAAACGGAGTGCTTTCTAATATTGCATTAATATAACCAGAACAAAATATATCAATATAAAAGTGTGAGGAACACTCAAAAAATTGACAAGAAAATAGAGCATATTAAGTAAGAAATATACGGAATAAAACAAATCAAGTAAAAAATAATATGTAAGAAAAATACAGTGCAAAGCACAAAACTTATCTGTGGAGCGAGTAGCAAATTAAAATGAGATCAAACAGTGATCGGAGTTTCGATGGATACATTTTTTGAATGATAATATCACTAAAAATTCTGCTTTTAGTGGTTAGCAAACGGTACAAAGAAGCATTATCATCAAGCACAGGGCTCCAACATAGCTGGTCTTAAATGTGCCAACATTCCATTTTCACTCAGACAAAACCAAATCACTGTAACCGTTCTAAAATCCGACTACAGTTACTTTTGTCCTCATAACGCACTTGCATTGCATAAATTTATACTGTAAAAGTCTTAATATGGTTGGGTGGGGTCGCATTCATTTCATCGACAATCACTTCATCGACACACCATTTCATCGACACCACTTCATCGACAGGCCGTTTCATCGACTAGGTCATTTCGTCGACAGGCCGTTTCCTCGACAGGGTTGTTTCGTCGACAGGCCATTTCGTCGACAGGGTCATTTCGTCGACAAGTCATTTCGTCGACAGGGTCATTTCGTCGACAAGTCATTTCGTCGACAGGGTCATTTCGTCGACAGGGTCATTTC